TTGTCCACTACAGCAACCCACCTCAACCCTCTTCCAAAATGTCTAGTACTTCCACCTCTTTGTCTACTCACACACACAATGCTCACCACATCCATTATCTATTGCTTGGATACTAGACACAAGCGCTACAAACCATATGGTCTGCAGCACCATTTTTTTCACTACTATTACATCTACTGTTTCTTATTCTGTGAAACTACCTAATGGTCATTCTGCCCCTGTCACACACATGAAAACAATTCACTTAACAAATTCCATCATTCTGCAAGATGTCCTTTGTGTGCCATCATTTTCTTTCAACCTTATTTCAGCAAACAAACTAACCTCTACCCTTAATTGTTGTTTGCTTTTCTTTTCCACTCACTATTTTATTCAGGACCTGCACTCATGGATAACGATTGAGACGGGTGAGCTCAGGTATGGCTTGTACCATTTCATTTGCAAGAAAGTCCTTCCCTTAACTCTGTCTACCTTCCTCTCGGCACACTCATCCAACAACAATACCAGATTTTCTTGTTTTACTTATATTACAAACTCTGTTTCACATACTGACCTATGGCATTGTCGCCTAGGTCAATTATCATTTCCTACATTTCAGATCCTCTTGTACACAAGGGAATTTCTCCTATTAATGAAATGTTTTGCAAAATTTGTCCATTAGCTAAATTTCATCGTTTATCTTTTCCTAACAGTACACATTCTTCATCAAGAATTTTTGAGCTCATTCATTGTGACTTATGGGGTCCTTGCTCCACTATTGCCCATGATGGCTCAAAGTACTTCTTGACCATTGTTGATGACTTTTCTAGAACTACCTAGATTTATTTACTTGCTGCCAAATCTGAAACTAGACAATGCATTACAAATTTTTACAATCTTGTTGATACACAATTCCAAATGAAAATTAAAAATATGAGAAGTGATAATGGTGCTGAGTTTAACATGCATGATTTTTTCAATCAAAAAGGCATTATTCATCACAAAATTTGTGTTGCAGCCCCTCAACAAAATGTCATTGTTGAGAGGAAGCACCAAGACTTACTAATTGTGGTCCGTGCCCTTCTTTTTCAAGCTCTTCTTCCTTTAACTTACTGGAATGAATCCATCCTTACAACCACATATATCATTAATAGGCTTCCATCACCGCTTCTCAATAACAAAACATCATATGAACTCCTTTTTAATAACAGACCCGAATATGCTCACATTAGAGTATTTGGTTCCCTTTACTTTGCTGCCACACTTGCTCATAATAGAACAAAATTTGATCCCTAGAGGTCGTGCATGTGCATTTCTTGGCTACCCTTTTGGAACTAAGGGCTACAAACTTTTGGATCTCAAAACTAGCACTATTTTCATTTGAAGGGATGTCATTTTGCATGAATTTATTTTTCCTTTTCAAACACCTCCATCTCCTCCTTCCACAACCCCAACTCTCCCCATTTTCTCTCTTACATTTGCATTTTCTTCTAATTTTTTAAATCCACTCCCTACCAGTCCCATACATCCTTCTCCTTCATCCCTTCACCCTCCTAATGTTTCTACTGAGTGTCCTAATATATCCTCCCCTTCTCCCACTTTTTGACCATCTAATTCCATCATTTCTCCTCCTGCTACCCCTCCATTTCGCAAATCTACCCGGAACAGGATAGCTCCTCAATATCTGAAGGATTTTCACTGCAAACAAGTTAGACTTGTCTCACCTCAGCAATCGACTTCCCCTACAGCTCCTCAATTAAATGGTAAAAATTTCTCTCTTTGATTGCTTATCCTACACGCACTTTAATCCCTCTTTCCAAGCTTTTTCATTTTCCATTTCCATTCAAACTAAGCCCACCTCATATAAATAAGCAATTAAAGATCCTGAGTGGTGCAAAGCTATGGATGCTGAAATTGAAGCTTTGGAAAACAATCATACTTAGACCATCATTGATTTGCCTAAAGGGAAAGTAGCAATTGATTGTAAGTATGTCCATCACATTAAATTTAAGTCTAATGGTTCTGTTGAAAGCCTTTTGTAGCTAAAGGCTACACCCAACAGGAAGGTATTGATTATACTGACACCTTTTCACCTGTTGCCAAACTTGTCATCGTTAGATGCCTTCTTAGTGTGGCTGCCATCAAAGGATGGTATTTACATCAATTTGATGTAAATAATGCATTTCTTAATGGTGATTTACATGAAGAAATCTACATGAGGAAACCCCTGGGTTACACCAAGGGTAAACAAAACCAAGTTTTCAGATTGCTTAAAAGCCTTTATGGTCTAAAGCAAGCTTCCAGACAATGGAACTCTAAACTCACCTCTTCCCTCATTGCTTTTGGCTTCATCCAATCAAAGTCTAATTATAGCTTATTCACCAAGCATAAAGGGAACAATTTTACTGCTTCGCTCATTTATGTTGATGATTTTCTGGTTGCTTGCAATTCCAATGACTCCATTGCCTCTCTAAGAGATTTTTTGATTAGCAAATTCAAGATTAAAGATCTTGGTTGTCTTCGTTATTTCTTGGGTTTGAAAATTTCCAGATCTTCCAAAGGTATTCATAAATGTCAAAGGAAATATGCCTTAGACATTTTTGGCAGATTTGGGTATGCTTGGATGCAAACCCCTTAAACTTCCTATGGATCAACACTTCAAAATTAGCAAATCTGAAGGGATTGCACTTTCCGATCCAAGTATTTTTCGAAGGTTAATTGGCCGGTTATTGTACCTCACAATAAACCAACCAGATATTTGCTTTGTTGTCCATTTATTAAGCTAGTTCATGGATCAGCCTTCTTTTTCTCACCTAGTAGAAGCTTACTGCATCTTAAGGTATATTAAACATGCACCAGCTCAAGGCCTTTTGCTGCCATCCTCATCTCAGCTTCAACTTATAGCTTTTTGTGATTCGGATTGGGCCTCTTGCCCAAATTCCCATCGGTCTACAACCGGATATTGTATTTTCTAGGGTCAATCGCTTATTTCTTGGTATCTTCTTCATGATCTTGGTATTTCTCATCCTCAAGCTGCCATTTTTCACTGTGACAACCATGCAACCCTTCATATAGCCGCCAATCCGGTTTTCCATGAGTGAACCAAGCATATAAATTTTGATTGTCACTTGATCTGTGACAAAATTCAGGAAGGAAGTCTCACAACAGCTCATGTTTCCTCTCAAGCACAACTGACTGATATTTTCACAAAAGCTCAACCATCTTTCCTTCTTCAAGCACGCTTGTCCAAGATGGGAATAGTAAATTTCTATTCTCCATCTTGTAGGGGGGTGTTAACAGATACAAACCAAGTCTAAAAGCTACAAGTTTTTTTGTACTCTGTTCTTTACATTTTCAATTGTCATATTGTATTTGTTATTCTTTCATTCATTGCACATGTCTATTAGCTGGCACAATATGATAGGTTGGGTTTGTTAGTTTGTTACAGATTTTCTGTATATATGCTCAACATTTCTTCCATGTACGTAAGCAATTTTACAAAATGGAATATTAAGATTTTCTTCATTGATATGCTCTCTGGTTCTTTTGCTCCACTGTTGTTTTCCTTTTCCTTACAAAATAGGCCCAACAATAACTATATTAGTTTGTGCCTATGCATAGTGGCAAGTATAGGGACTACTAAGAAGTGGACATCAGGGTTCGAATCCAATCATAGTCACTTAAAAAGGAAAAAATTAAAAGGATTTATAAATGTGGGAAACTATGTGACAATGCATAACTGTCGGCGAGTTGGTAGAAGTGTAATTTTTGTTGCCTTCTTCCTTTGGCATATTAAGGATTGGTAAAAGAAGGATCGATGAGTACAATAATAGAGATAATGGCTAGATCTCAAAGGGCATATTGGGCAGTACCCAAATTGACTGGTGGAGTTGTTACATTCGTAAGCATGTTGTACCTGTTTTTGCTTCTTTTACGTTCAATGTCTTTTTTAGGTTTAATTTGAAGATTAAGGATTTTTTTCCCTTAGTGTCAAGATCCACTAAGCTTCTTAGGTCGCTATTGTAAGTAATTATATAAGAAATACAATGGAATTTAAAAGAAAAATATTTTGATTCCTTATCACTAGATTTTTTTATGTTTAATACAAACTGAAAACCTTAGATCTATGAAGAAGATTAATAATTACCCTTTAAAGTATGCTTCTAAAAATTTTCAAGTTTTCTCAAAAAATCTTGAATCTTTAAATTTGAATTTGATTTGTATCCTGAGTCTCACAATTATTTGGCCTCTATTTGTATCCATATGAATTAATAAACTTAAAAGATCTTGGTTAACCTTTGACGAAATAAAAGGAAGAGAGATAGAGAGAGATGTGATGGATTTTTTTGTGCTAGCAAGAAAATATAAAACTATCACCTCCCATATCTAAGTATCAAGTTAAATAATAGAGACACAGTTGGAAGGTAACAATAATTTGCTAGAGTACAAAGACCAAAATGAGGGAAGGGGCCAAATGTATAATTTTGTTAGAGCAAAAACAAATTAAAGCATGAGACAATTTGATAGACATCTTATAAGGAAGTCTCCAAATGAAGAACTAAAAAATGCATAATGTTCGGTAGCTTGAAGACATTAGAAAACCCAAGTAATAAGTCTTATTGGTTCAAGTCCGATAACCTTCCTCTCCAAAGTGCACTAGAAGAAGACTAGGAGCAAATCAACCTTTTCTTTTTGTTGGGCATGGGTTTCCAGCCTAAATGGTTCACCTTATATGGTCTATGATCCTTTTATTACCAACAGATGTGAGACTCGTTCGACACCTTAACACTTTTTTATTTCTCCACAAAAGAAGGTTGAGAAACCTATAACTGAAAACACAAAGCATTGCCAAATTTCAAAGAAATCATAAAGGTCTATTCTATTGGAATTACGATGAGGGTAAGGCTGCTTGTCACTTATTTTTTCTGTTGACTTTTTGTCCATCTTTTCCTTTGGAAAGTGATAGAAGAGTAAGAGACCAAAGCCAGAGACAGAACGAATGTAGTAGATGTAATGAGAACCTTCCGGATTCCATTGTGGTGTTGCAACCCGTTTGTACCACTTTCGCTGGTGTTCATGTCCTCTTCTTCAACTGTTAACCATCAAAAGACCAAAAATTCCATATCAGAACATTGTATCCAAAAAAAAAAAAGATCAATTTCCAAGTTTTTTTAGTAACAGTTGAAATTAAATTAAATCAAATCAGAAACTACAAACCTGCAATTTCATCAGAATCCAAAAATAAACTATCATACTTGCCCAAGCTAGGCAAGTCATCAACCATGGGCGTTGGTAGAAAATCCTGTCTAGGCATGTACCCCCCAAAGTCCGAATCATTGTACTCATACATTTGTTGGATGCCAACATTCACTTCTTGCTCCCACACAAGATCGACACCACACTCCTTCATCTGATAAGCACTACCGATAACTATCGAAACACTTACTTCATCACCGCCTTCCAAGTGATTCCCAATCTTCCAATGACTTAAACATATCATATCTTCATCATGTTTTGGAATACTGAAGAACTATGGCAAAAAGGACCATTTCAAACGCTCGGTCTTATTATTGATTTTTGTCTCGAATGTCACCAAAAAAGGTACTCTTCGAATATATATATAGCGATGTGTATATACAGAGCACACATTGAGACCTTGGATTTTGAATTTAGGACGTTAAGGCACAGTAAAAGATATCGAGGATCCCTTACTTTTATGGTTGAACCAACTAGGCATAGATATGTTTATCAAATTATTTTTCAAATTTCGTATACAAAATCACTGTGGGTGATTTGATCAGTAAGGTCTATTAACTTTCTCTAAACATTCAATACATAGGATTTTGCATATGCAATATTTGGTAAATAATTTGTGAAGCACAATTTTATCATGTTGATATATTTGTTGATCCCGATGGGGGGAATTGTTGACTTCAGAAAAAGAAAGAGGTAAATTATAGTTAGATTTCTTTAATTGTCTTGTTTAACATTATTCTTAAATTATTCGTTTTCCCGTATTGTACCTTAAGCAATTAGTTTGAATTTTATATATTTCCAATCGCCATCTAATTATTTCACTGCAAATCATGGCCACAATAAGAAAAATTTTAGGAGATGTGGTATGTCCCTCTATAGTTAGGGCATTGGGGGTAATGGTTCAAGGCAGCTGAAAAAGTCAAAATTTGCTAGCTCTCTAGACTAAAAATCTATAATTGTCTAAGACATCATGTATGGGGGAAAAAAAGGTGCCTCTGTGCTTTTGCACTAGCCTGGATGTTTCGTCTGTGGCTCTGTCCTATAAATCTTTCCTTTTCTCCTCTTGTTTTCTCCACAGACTGGTTTTTCAGCTCTCTCTCTTTCGTATCAGTTGTGCCACATTGGCCTAGAATTCAACACTTTGAGCTGCATAAATGAGTAAATTTTTTGATCTTAGGAACAATTTCATGTAATTTGAGTTCAATGTTTTCAGTATGTTCTTAATTCTTGGTTCTGTTTTGTTACCTTGAATCTGTAAAATTCGTTGTGAAACTAAATATGACATTCCAACTCTAGAGGCAGGGCATGACTTTGGACCTGCTTCTCTGATTAATTTGATTGACCTTGCTAAGTTGACCCATGTTGTCTTGTGACACTAGTACTCCTGTTAAAGTTTTTTTCTTTCGCGAGTTCTCTAGATATGTGTATTCTTTTGAATTTATTAATTCAGGAATAATGTTGATCTAACCAAAACACTTGCCATATATTGTTTATCAAATTAATACGCATGATTCGACTAGTGAATCTTATTAAAATTTAAAAGTTAATAGGACCTTTTGATCTAACAATTCTAACATCCATATCAATTTGACAAGAAAATTTCAATATGTTATTTAGCAAGCATAACAATGTTCTAAATTTAATACTAGAGTTTTTTTACCGGCAAATACAATAACCATACTTTTTGCGTGTTTTGTTGTATCTTCTGTCGGGATAATGCTAGACTGAGCAAAATTTAAAATTTTAATTTGCAGAGAAGACATCAAAAGAGATTAAATTTTTTTGTTCCCTATTTTTTTTTCTAGTATTATCCTTTTTTATTACCATCCTTTAATAATCTGAAACTATATGTGTAGATTAGAGCCTGAGTTATTATTGGGTGGGCGGTACTAATTTATTCTGAACCTTGTACAATCGATGTAACAACACATCTTGTATACACATCATATACATCACTACTATCCATTATAATCAGTATTAGGTATTGTGGTCAATTTCTCCTTCAAGATGGTAAAAGCTTGCTCATAATTATGATCCCATGCCACACAAAATTTTCTCCCTTCTTCTTAAGGCGAATCATAGGTATCTAAATGAGAAAATTCTTCCATGAACCTCCGATGGTAGCCTGAAAATCCCAAGAAGCTACGAATCTCCATCACATTTTGGGGTCATTCTTATTTCATCATTGCCTCTATTTTAACAAAGTCCATAACCAATACCTACTCTAACACAACATGCCCTAGAAACTTTACCTTATTGCTCCAAAACTTGTACTTGTTTTTCTTATCATACAACTTATACTCTCTTAGTGTTTATAATACCAACTGGATATGTTGTATATGCTCCTCATGCGCCTTCGAATAGATCAAAATATCATCAATGAAGGCAATGAGAATACGTAAGGTAAATTCTCGATGCGTCAAATCATGAAAATTGCTGGAGCATTTGTTAATCCAAAAGGCATCACTATCGTTAATCCAAAAGGCATCACTAAATACTCAAATAGCCCATACCTTGTGCAAAAGGATGTCTTAGGAATATCCTTCTCTCTAGTTCTTAATTAATGGTACCCAGTACAAAGATCAATATTGGAATAATACTTTGAACCCCTCAACTGATCGAACAGGTCATCGATGCGAGGTAATGGGTAACTATACTTCACCATCACCCAATTTGGCTTTCTATAATCTGTACATAATCTAAGTGACTCATCATGTTTTTTCACAAATATTATAGGTGCTCCCAAAGGTGAAGTACTTAGATAAATAAATTTGATGGAAAGCAATTGATCCAATTATTGCCTTGGCTCCTTCAACTCCAGTTCTACCATTTGGTAAAGTGAAATGAAAATTGGTTCGAAACCTGGATACATCGATGACAAACTCAACTTTTGTCTATGGGAGTATTCTAGGTAATTCATTAGAGAATACATTCGAGAAATTGGACACCACCAAGATGAAGTTGGACTAGGATTCCTTCGATTTGTCCCCCAATAAGCTAGCCAAGAAACTAAAATTGCTACCCTCCTTCACTTTCATGAATCATATTCCCGTAGTAAGAAATGGATGGGAAGAGCTTCGCTTGTTAGTGAAACTAAATACTACCCCTCCCAGTAATTGGAATATCACCCATTTCCTAAAAAATTCCATCATGGCATGGTAGGCAGACAATATATCCATCCCAAATGTGACATCATATCACTTCATCTCCAATACCACCAAATCCACAATCAATTATTGCTCCCGAATCTAGAGTGCATAACATTTACACACCCTTCACGTGTCCAAATGTTCTCTTGTAATTAGGTCAACACTAAAAGAATTTGCTAAGTCCTTAAACTCCAAACCCAAAATAACAATGTATGTGGTGCGTATACAAGATTGTGTGGCACTAGGATCACAAAGAATAAGTTCCCAAGAATTGTGAAGGATAACAATACATTCCACAACGACGTTAGCAATATCCTCCTTCTATTGGGCAATGGCAAAGAATCAACCCTAATTGTTGGCACCTTGTGTAGTCTAGGTGTTCTACTGGTCCTAATCAAGCCTCCCTGCCCTTGTAGTTGCTGTTTTTCCTAGATTGTGGCCCTAAAATCCTACTCAAATCTCTTACCATTCATTGCTTCAGAAGAAACAAACTTTGGCACATATTGAGAAAAAACTCTATGAACTTGGTCTCAGACTAATCCACTATCATATTACTTTGACGTAGTACCAAGAAATTGGCACTCATCTTGTACTTGACGGACTCCAAAAAGTACTTCTCATTAAATTCTTGATCAAAGTCCTCCCAGGTCATCTCATTCACATCCCTCATTCTCTTCACTACGTCCCACTAATGATCTGCCTCACTCTGCAATAGATAGGTAGCTAGGCCTACTCTGACATCCTCTGTAATTTCCATATTTTCATACATCTTCTTCATCGCTAGATCCATTTGCTAGCCTCCATAGGGTTAGAGTTCCCTTATAAATTAGGCAAGTTCAACCAAATCAGACATCAATTGATAATCTACCACACTTGCAAATGCCCAAGGACAATCATCAGTCCCGGAGCTTATTTATGCAAACTATTCATGCACAAGTTATTTTGTCCATTTACAACAGCATAGGGAGATTGTCTAGATCGTGAAACTCATGCTTATGAAGTTTTTTTTGCTTTCTGGGTAGTGAAGTGGTTCGTGAATGTTAAATAAAACTTGTATTTAGCAAGAAGAGTAATCAAGCTAGAGAGGCAAAAAAAAAAGCAAGAAGTGATTTTTGTTCGATCAATGAAATCAATTGTAATTTCACTACTATGGGCCAACTTTCATAAATCACCTTTTCACAAGCGCTATTATTGGGATCCAATTCCAAGATCAATTCAACAATGAAACTATTTGTCTCATAAACTCCTCAAAACCATCATAAATACTCTAACTCTCATTGTCATTCATTGGCCCCTAAGCCAATGACTGGACGACCCAATTATGATTGTTGTTGTTGACTGTTTGGTGTTGTTCTAGGGTGATCAGCTTTGTCGGCACTAGTAGATTCCATTCATAGCATCTTAGGGTGGTGGTCGTTGGTCTCCTGTGGGTCAGGTTGGTCTTCCACAAGTCTCATTCTGTGCATTATGTACTACAAACATAATTTAGTCTCTTTTTACAACTATTAACACCAACTCACATGTATCCTATAAGCACATAGTTCCCAGAAGATTTAAGTCTAAATTCCCTTCCATCTAATACCTACTACTCCACTAGTTATCCCACACCTACAACTCATATGTAAGATCTAATTCCTAGGCTTTAATACCAACTTTGCCACACCTCATTTTGATAAACAAAAGTGAAATAACTAATAACCTTTAAATTCATTTGAGCATAACTAATAATATCATTCTATAAACAAAACAACAATGGTCAACATTTTCTAAAAAAAAATCCCAAAAATTGATATCAACCATTCACTATTTACACCCAAAAATCACAATGAAAAATTATTAAGCCTTCTAAACTAATAAAAACTCATGATTCTAAATTATCAGACCATCCATAACATTCATAAATAATAAATCAAGCTCTACACGTCGACATCAGATCCATATCCTT